TCTTGCCTGAAGCACAACAGCAAATGGCACCATTGTGATATGTTGCCACTCGGAGTATATTCTAGATCTCCTGGTTGCTTGGCTTATTAAATGTCGGGGGATTGACTGAGGCTAGTCAGGTAATTTATTTGCTATTTTCTCCCTCATCTCTTCTCCCTCTTTCTCTTTCTGTTCTTTATTGACATGTTGACCTGCTCTACTGCAGATCTATGGTACTTGTTCCTGATTTTTCTCTTTAAATAATAATGGAGTCAGCACTGAAATGGTGAGAAGCTGGAATAGGCTTGGGGACATTCCCACTCCATTTAGTCATGTCCTTATAGGACACATGCTCAGAAATATGTGTTTGATTGCTCACCTATCTGCTGTCTTCCCAATCTGGAAAAAAATGTTTTGTTTCAGTTACGAGACCGCCTTCTGCCACCAATAGCCTCCCACCGGCCGGTTCGCTCCCACAGAGAGGGCCTCCTCAGGGTGCCGTCGGCCAGACAATGCCGGCTGACGACCCCCAGGAGGAGAGCCTTCTCTGTGGTGGCACCTACCCTATGGAACAATCTACCCCCAGAGATACGAGTGATCTCCGACCTCTGGATTTTTCGTCGGGCCCTAAAAACTTATTTTTTTCAGTTAGCCGGTCTGTCCTGATTTTAGGGTTAGTTTTAAAATTTTAATATTTATTTTAAATTGACAAGTTTTAAATTATGGGCCAAATTTATAAATTATTTTAACTTTATTTTTTAACTGTGATGTTTGTATAGATGTTTTTTATCTGGCTGTTCACCGCCCTGAGTCCGAAAGGAGAAGGGCGGTATAGAAATTCGAATAAATAAATAAATAAATAAAATAAATAATGTAGTCCTTTTGCTTTGCAGCACATCATCCATATATGTCAATAAAAATTGTGTCCCTGGGGACCACACAACTGGAATCTTGTTCAGTAGCCCAGTGCAAGTCTAGTCATGTAACACCTGAGATTGGCTGTTATTCTACACCAAAACAAATTCCATGAGCATTTCTCCCAGAAAGTAAAATTACAACAAAAATGAATTTTAAAACTTGTTGGCAATATTATGTTGCTTGTGAAATAGTCTTTAGGTTAGAGATTCTGGCTTTGGAGGTTGATAAAACAAGGGCCTAAATTTTTGCGGGTAATATGCTGGCTCTGTAAACTGCTTAGAGAGACTGTGAAGCACTGTGAAGCAGTATATAAATCTAAGTGCTACTGATATTGCTATCATCACAAGCCAGACTGAATATACAGTTGATATTTGTTGACCTGTTGCTTGGAGGCTGTTGGTCTGGATGGAACAAAATAGGTAGCAATCGAACCCTGAGAAGACAGAAATGCTCTCTGTTCAAAGACCACCCGGTCCTCCATTTTCTCTGATTATACCTCTCTATGAAGCGGCACTCCATCTGAAAGGCCAGACCCATAACTTGGATATTGTCCCATGCTTACAACTGCTGCTAGATGTGGTGTTGGAGGTCTTTCCCCCAGTTTCAGCTGGTATATCAGTTGTGTCCACTCAGGAGTAAGAAGACTTGACAATGGTATCAAGATATTACTAGTAGGATAGACTATTTCAGCATGTTGTACAGATAGTCCTCGACTTACAACTGCTTGTTTGATGACCATTTGAACCTACAACGGCACTGAAAAGAATGGCACTTATGACTGGTTTTCTCACTTATGACTGTTGCAGCATTCCCGTGGTCATGTGATCAAAATTCAGATGCTTGATAATTGACTCATATTTATGACAGTTGCAGTGTCCCGGGGTCATGTGATTAACTTTTGTGATCTTCTGACAAGCAAAGTCAATGGAGAAGCCAGATTCACTTAACAACTGTGTTACTAACTCAACAACTGCAGTGATTCACTTAACAACTGTGGCAAGAAAAATCATAAAATGAGACAGAAATCTACATGTACAGTATGTAATTCAAAACAATTCCTTTTCTTTCTCATACTTTTTTAACACAAGGGTGAAAATGTTTGTCTCTTTTGAGAAGATACACTCTATCGTCACAAATTGCTCTGAAAATGACTGCTAATCTTTTTATCACTCCGATGACATTAATGTCATATATAACATCTATAATGTGAGTGCTGCATCGGCTTTCAGTCTATTTTAAGGTACAACTCAAGGTGTTCTGATTTATTTGCTTTTAATCCTTAAAATCTTAGATTAGTACCCACTTTGGCAAACTTTCACAAAACTATAAAAACTGGAATCTTGGTTGCCCCATGTTTGGGAGGCACCTATGACTATTTTAAGGATTATTGTTTTTAATTTAGGGATTATTCTCTTCACTCCCAACTTGGTAAGCATATAAGCCTTCTGAAGCCAGTGCAAAAGCTCATGTTTGCATACATAATCTTTTTGCATTTTATGAATAATATTTTCCATAAATGTTTGATCTTCTTTTTCATAATTTATTTGGACAATATTTTCTGTAAGGACCATGCTGTCCACATGAAACTGGTGTTAGTTGGTCTTGCAGCGTCTTTGTGACTACAACTCTACCTAATCTACAGAAATGTGACTTTGATCTGCCTTTGAATATTTGGAATATCACTTTCCTCAAAAGAATTGGATCTAACTAAAGTACAATCTATTTTGGCTTGAAACATGCAGCCACCCACTCAATATTAATGATATACAAAGGCTTTTGGGCTTTGCCAATTTTGCTGTAACTTTGATTCCGGTCATAAATATTCTCTCTCAAACATGCGGGTAGAAATATAAAGCCAACACCAAGAGTTTAATTCTTAAACCTTACGTTATGCTTGAAGTAACAAACCTGAGGGTGGAGCAGACAATGTAAGACAAAAGATTGCTACAATGCATACCTTCTGATTTGTTGAGGTTTTGAGTGTCAAATGCCCATCTTTTAATATTAATATTTACCTTGACTACTATTTTTTCTATATATGCATTAAACAAATCACTTAAAATGTGAAAGTAAAGGGACTAGCAAAAGGGACACAAATATTGGAGCCTGAGATAACTTCTCTGGTTTGCTATTCCAGTAGTTTTTAGTTTCTTAGCTAATGAATAAGGCCAGAGTGTTGACCTTCAACTTTCCTGTTCCAGAATTTCCTTTTTGGCTGATGGACAAACTGGTGTTTCCCTTGCCATGATGCTTTAGCTGAGAAGTACTCCAGCTTCTTTAAGGTCCAGGCAAAGGCATAAGACTGGAGCCAACTTCATGGAATACTGTGCATACTTGGTGAAAGTTATAACGAGCTAACAACTATCAATATATCACTCCAGGGCTCAGGAACTGAAAGACCAAGCTTAGGGGCAGCCTAACTGTCCTAAAGAACACCAAGCAGCAGGTATTTCCAGTTCCCAAGCTATCCAGAAATATACATGGAAGAAGCAATGGCTCCCACCATAGATTTTACTAGCAATTTTCTTAAGGTATAACTAAATAAGGTGGTACGTTCTTAAATTTTCTCATTTTACCTATGAGAATGGAAATATCTTTAAAGATAGAGTCAGATTTTTGTTCAGAAGGGACTCCACTTTATAAAATAGACTTTTAATTCTTGACTTTTCCTCCCGCTCCTTTTCAGAGTAAGGGAACACAGAGCTGTATGGAGGAGATCTTTGTTAATTTCTGTTTCTATGAGTTCTTAAAAATATACCTATATCTATGCATGTGTACATCCAAGTCAAAATCACTAAGGTGGTTTGTCCTTGTCTGGCATGGGCCATTTACAACTTAAATTTCCTCTTGTCAAGTTTCACACTGGGGTAAGGGATACAATGTACAATACACATAGCTGTGCTAAGGATGCAGATTGTACTCTGTGATAATACAGAGACCAATTTGCTATCAAATGCTTTGTGAACAAAGAATATGATGCTTTTTGAACAAAGAGAAAATGGATGGCCTTGAGAAGAATTTCCAGGATTCAATGCTAGAACTCTTCAAAATCAATTCATTTGATTTATCATCATCATCATCTATTTTGTGATTTTCTCTTCTCTTCTGCTGTCTCCAAAAATTCTGAATAGTGGATGTGACAGTACCTGGAGACAGCAGAATAGAAAGAAATGGACAAAATCACAAAATGTAAAGACTTGCAAGAAGAAGTAGAAAAATGGTGGCAAAAGAAAGCAAAGATAGTACCAATAGTAGTAAGCATCTTGGGTGCAATTCCAAAACATCTGGAGCTCCACTTGAGCTCCATCGTATTGACAAAATCACCACCAGTGAATTGCAAAAGGCAGCTTGACTTGGAACAGTTTACATCTTGCAACAATACATTTAACATCAAACAACATCTGCCCATTCCCAGGTTTTGGGAAGGACTTGATAGGTGGATAAAAATGCCAAATGCAGTCTAAACATCTGGCTGAGTGTATGACGGACTATAATAATATGGAAAGATATTATTCCTATACTTAATTAGCATTTTTATGCCATTATATTTCATAAGATTACTCTGCCTTATGGTCAGCATTATGCATTCAGCAATAAGGGCTCTGTATAGGATTCATCAGAAGGTTAGACCATAAAGAAAGGAGCATGTGTGGGCATCTGTCAGATTCCTTAAAAATAATTATCAAGATACAAAGCAAATATTTTCAGGAATGATGTAAAAATATACCATATGCATCCATAGGTGTATATGTTACATGAGGAATTATTAGCATTTTTGATAAAAAGGTCATTGAAAGACAGGGGAAAAAAAATCAAATGGCTGTCAGAGAATGAAGAAATCATTGGATTTTACATTGGCAATTAAGGCAGACAGTTCAATCCTTCTATTTACTTGGAGCCAAGCCTGTGCGTAATGTATTTAAAAGCTTATTTTTAATCTTTATCCCCCCCTGCACCCCAAATCCTTTTTTTTTTAAAGTTTACATTTAACACTAACTTTTTCCATATTGGTTTCTATCTGTGGACTTCCTGAAATAAATGAAGACATTCTGTGTTCTGATATATATATATATATTTAAAAAGGAAACAACAGCAACATTAAGTACATTTTTACTTGGAGATTTATTTTGTTTTATTAAATCTGACACCAGTCAGGGAGAAGAAAAAAGAACAACAAGAAGCATCTTAAAAATGCTTCATATTTTCCATAGAAATTTGCCTTCGTTAGGTTTTGAGAATCCATGGGTTCATGAGCTCATCCACTGACCCTCTGCCCTCCCTCCCACACATCTATTTTTTTTTCTCGTATTTGTTTTTTTTTTTAATCAAAGTGAATTTGCTTGTTGGGTGTAATTTTCCAAGCCTTCACAGACCTAATAAATAAGGAGCCCCTGTAAAACAGTAGCTTGACTTAAGTGAATCTGTACAAAGGAAAAATATAGAAATACAGTATGTACAAAGTACCGTCAGTGCACCATCGCTACAAAGTTCTGATTTAATTGGCTTTAATTTAAGACCCTGCTCCCAAGCTCTTTGAATCACAATCTTCCCAAATGTTTTCCCTTTTGCTAAACACAATAGCCTTATAGTGAAGGTGCACTCTGATCACTATTGTGTGAACAATTGCTTTATTCAAGTTAGTAAACAGTTACACTGGATCACAAGGTGATTTGAACGTATTTTTCCCCCCTCAATTTTCCCCCCTTAGTATTTTGTCCAAACTGGGATACTTCCCAATTGTTTTACCAAATCAGTGCTCTAGTGTACTTTTGGATTCTTGGCTACAACTATACAAGTGCACACAAGTAAATCCTACCCTGTTATCCTCCACCCACCAACTGAGAATCAGATTGCACATTTCTTTTAACCATGACAGGAGAAAGCAAATAGTGAAACAAAATCATGGGGACTTGCTTCTCACTTTACCCCCGTGTTTTCATTGGCTTGGCCATACCTTTCTAATTATCATGAAAGAGCTTTACATCTGGAGAGATTGTCTCACTGGCTTCCTGGATCACTGCAAAACCATCAGGGTTGAAATTTCATCCAAGTCTTTCATAACACCCAGCAAATATTTCCCCTGGATAGTTTTACACCTTGAGGGGATCCTTTTTTTTTTTTTTGGTCTTTAGTTCAACACTCTTGCTCTGTTCCCAAAAGGGGTGCTATTTTAGGGGAATTGAAAGAGAAAACCGAGAGGAATAAACATTTACTGAGTTCTCTTGGCATTCAGTCTCTTGAAAAACCACAGTATAAACTATTCATGCTGCTTCTTACATCTGTCAAATCAAAATTTAAAAAATTAAAATTAAAATTAAAAGCCAGAAAAAGTGTAACACTGAAAATATGGCATTAAAAAGGATAAAGGTGGCCTTTGTAAAAATAACACAGAAAAAGTATATTAGCCAATAAAATATTCTAATAACTCTTCATTTAAAAGTGCATCATGGGTAGGAGATAGAGATGACTCTGAAGTGTCAATACTCCAGTATAGCCCCTTCAACCGCCTCCCATTACAACGCGAATAGGTCCAAAACCATACAATGCAAATCACAATTCTTCATGTAGCAGCAAAACCACAGCAGGTTTTTTTTGGGGGGGGGATCCATTTCATCGTCCAACTTCAAATATTTGAACCTTGAAGTCTATGAGGAAAAAAAAAAGTACATACATTGGTCCATGTGGCTTTAGAATCAGAGGAAAATCCTCCATCGGCAAAAAAACAAAGGTTTAGGGAGAAGGGGGCGTGGTCATCGGAATGCTGAGAGTACTTTTGAGGGGTCCATGATGTGCTTACAGTCTTCTGACCCAAAGGCACCCTAGGGTTTTAGCCTTCCCTCTGAGAGAAATAATGATGGGAAATGGCTTTGTTTTCTTGATTTCTGACCAGATATGGTGGTGAGTGGACCAGCTGTTGTCTGGTAAAGTAGCACTGATTGCTCGGCTCCCTTTCTCCATGCAAGGTACCCTGTCAATATCAGCATTCCTGCAACAATAAAACAGACGTGTCAATACCTTTACTACATTATAACGATTCAGTGCAGTATTGTATTTGACATAATGAGAATACTCAGTCGTAACATTAAAGTTCTTTCAGGAGAAGAGAAACAGAAGATTAAAGACGGAAAACATGCAGAGTAAGAAGCACAATTAGAAAACAATATGGTTTGGCTTAATTTACATTAGTGCAGGGCTATCAAATTGGCGACCCGCAGGCTGGATGCGTCACGCGCAAGCCATGCCCACCCCAGCTCCACAAATGGGAAAAATGTCACGAAATGTTACATGACAGCAACATGACACTGCTAGTTTGAAACCCCTGCATTAATGTATATGGAACCCTATTCTTCAAAGAACTTTTGCAATACCATCTACCAAATTCTTCTTCATAAAAATCCAACTAGTTACATAATTTCTTTGGAATCAATACTCGGCGCAACTTTCAAACTTCTAGAGCTGTCAGTGGCTATGAGCTCAAAAATTCTATTTCCATTTAATAATTTAAAGAAAAGAGATGATAACTCAAATTTTGGATGGTATGTTAAATAACTCTTCCTGTGGCTTATTTCCTGAGCCTGTCTTTCATCTGAGATCTTTCATCAAACACTGAAACAAATAAAACTTTTTTTTATTTATTTGAGACAATAGAGAAATGAAGATGCCCTCTATGGACAATGATATCACATCACTTTCAATTGACTGAAAAACCCAGCCCCTAGACTTGGATACAGATTCCATCATTATGCCATCATTAAAAGAGCCGTGGTGGCGCAGTGGTTGGTACTGCAGGCTAACTCACTGCTCACTTCAGGAGTTTGATTTTGAATGGTTCAAGGTTGACTCAGCCTTCAAAACTTTCAAGGTTGGTAAAATGAGGACCCAAATTGTTGGGGGCAATATGCTGACTCTTTAAACCACTTAGAGAGGACTGTAAAGCACTGTGAAGCGGTATATAAGTCTAGGTACTATTTCTATTATAACATTGTCAGTTGAAATCATGATATTCTCTGATTCTTATATTATATATATAATATAATATATATATTATATATTATATGTATGTATGTATGTATGTATGTATGTATGTATGTATGTATGTATCCCAATGGATACAAGCAGGGAGCTTGCTGGCTGCTGGAAAAAAAGCCTAGAAACTAGTGGATTGGGATTTCACTGAACTAGGGCTGCATAAAAATTTTGGTTTACGTAGGAAGAACCTGGCTAAAGAGAAATACACATAAAGGCCTACAAAAAGAAAATAATGTGTGTGTGTGTGTGTGTGTGTGTGTGTGTGTGTGGTGAAATCCTCCATGGATTGCCACCAGTTCGCTGCCTGGGCATGCATGGTGCGTGCCAAATGCAAGCTGCGTGTCCATGAGCAGTGCGCACCAAATGCACACTATATGCACATGCGCAGTGTGCCCCAAACACATGCTGCATATGTATGTGCAGTGCGCACCAAACACACACGTCATGCAGAAAAAGGAAACTTAACAAGGTAAGTAGCACAGCGGGGGGGGGAAGACAGCTGTGCCACATGATTTAGATTCACTAGAAAGCAGGATTTCCTGCTTGGAAATTTGGACGAACCGGTTTGGACGAACCGGTAGCTTTTTTTACATTTTACATTTTACATATATATATATTCACTCCTGAATATATATATATATATATATATGTATGTATACACACACAGACACACACACACACACACACACACAATATAAGACTCTGTCTTATATTTTTTTGAACCCTGAAATAAGTGTTTGGCCTTATTGCCATGTACTCAAATGTCCAATTGGGCTTATTATCAGGGGATGTCTTATTTTGGGGGAAACAGGGTGTGTGTGTGTGTGTGTGTGTGTGTGTGTGTGTGTGTGTGTGTATGCATATTCTTTCTAGCCAGGTTTTACCTACGTAAGCTAAGATGTTCCACAGCCCTAGTTCTGTGAAATCTCATTCACAAGTTTCTGGGCTTTTTGTATCTTGCTGATTTGGCTCAGAAATAAACTGACTAATAAGTCTGCTATCCGAAATTCAGGAATTAGCCAATCCAATTTATCTCCTACATGAGAGGAAGGAAAAACAATTAAACCTGTTTCCTTACATGGTCTCACTGAATAATTTCATAGTTCAGAAAAAAAATTCAAGAGCAGAGAAACTAAGCAAGATAATCAACATAAGCAAATGATTGTGTTTCTTTCTAATAACTAACTGTGTTCCATAATTCCAAGGTGGACTTGATGGAAGAGGTACTTGGAACAGAAGATCCTATATATTATCTTATTACGTGGCATTTTAATTTATCAAGCATCAGTGCTTGTACGAGAAAGAATATCTTGTGGATTTCAGAAATATTCAGGCATTGTATCTGGTATCTGAAATACCAGAAAACCATATTATGATACAGTAATTATTTAACTCCTGTATGAACAGGTTGTGTGAGATTGGAGTAATGTTAATCATAGCGTATGAATAGACAGGCTTGCATAGTATTTTCCCCTTCCTCTTCAGTAAGGATTCACATGAGCAGCTACCTCAGTTGCACAGAAACTTGAGCAGACTCTAATAGTTTTCCATTTTGTAAAATAATACATTGATTAATATGCCTTGTAATTTAGTTTGTTAACATTTCTTAAAAGATACATTTGAAATAATTTCTGTGCTTATTCAGTCCCCTGATAACTGGGGACGGCCACTGATAATTCACTCTATTCTATAGTAGGTGGAATCACCCGATTCATGAAGCATTGGAGAAAAACACTGTATATCTGCTTAAAACAACTTCATATTTCCAGTTTTGCTTTTTAGTGTAATTGACTGAAAAAGTTGGCAGAACTGGAAAATCCTATTTGCACCTTCAATCTCATATGCTACTCAGTTAACTGAAATATATTGAAAATTTATCTTACATTGCTTGGATCAGACACAATATGAACATCTTGTCTGCAAGCACTCAATTTCAGAGTTACTCTACAATTTCACTGGTCTATAGATAAAAATGCCACCTTTTCAGTATATTAAGCAAAATATTTTTAATGTATATGCTAAATTTACATCCCAATAGAATGAATAATAAAAAATGTAAAGTATCGAAGTTGAGCTTGATTCCTGGTGACTTTATCGATCATAGCCATATAGGTTTCTTGGCAGAAAAATAGAAGTAGTTAGTTTTGTCTTGTTCCAGGATTTTCTTTTTAAAAAAATTCCCAATCTACACTATAGCCTTGAAATTTATGAAGGAATCCCACCCAGTTATTAACCAGGTCAAACCTCATTTAGCTTCTAAGCCCATTCAAGGTCACCCTTGATTCAATGTTCCACCAACCAAGACAATTAATATTATGAGCTTATTATTCATAGCTGATGTTGTCAGAGTTCCACTACAATAAATGGAAAGTTTTGCCTATTGGGAAAATGTTGGTATAAACAAACAGTGCACTATTATTTTTAAATGACTGTAATGTAGGAATTTAGCCCACTGAGCACAATATATGAACGATGATGATGATAATGATGATGATGATTTGCTTGGCTCCTTTGGAACAGAAATGGGTTCAGAGCAAAGTCAAGGCCATGATTTTCTTAGGGACCTTCTGCTGAAATAATCATAAAAGAGGCGGCATGTTCAAACCCACATACACGTTGGGGTCGCTATATATTTATATGAATTCTGTTCTGAATGCATTCAACATTTTTATCAAAGTCTCTGCTTTTGAATAAACATTTATGTCTCTCCCCTATAAAATGAAATAAATGACATCACATCACTAAAATTGAGAGAAACATATTATTTGGGGGAAAATAAGAATGTGGGAGCCATGGAGAAAGCAGTTCGTAGCTTATCTCTAAGCATTTTTAATCAGCACTAGCTGCTATTAACATTCAGTGCATTTTGTTTTCTACATCAGATTCCTTTGTTAGTTTCTGCTCTTCTGTCTCTTCTTGCCCTGGTATATTTTCTTCCAACTGCACACCCTGCAGTTTTCTTGAGAAGTTTCCCTAAGTGGTTTGCCATTCTGAGGGAGGGAGAGAGGGAGGGAAGAAGAGAGAGGGAGGGAGGGAGGGAGGGAGGGAGGGGGAGAGAGGGGAGGGAGAGAGAGAGATTGGCTCAAGGTCACCCAGCTGAATTGTGCATAAAGTGAGACTACAACTCAACCTCCCCCTTCATTTCTACCTTGATGCTTTAACTACTACACAGAACTGGCTCTCACTAAGAGAGGAGGCAAGGATCTCACTCGCTAAGGATCTTGGCAAATCTTATTACCTTCTTGTAATAAATTGAGTATAAGTCTTTCATGAACGGAATCATATTGTACTTGTACTGTTCTGTACCTGTGCTGTTTCTAGATTTTAGTACAGTACAGTTTAGTACAGTTTTCTACAACCCTGGGCCCTCCACATGTGTTAAATATCAGCCCTCATAATTGTTGAAGTTCAACATCTCTGGAGGACACTGTACTGGGGAAATCTGATTTAAGGCTTCAATTTTTATCAGCAATGCATGTTTTAAGTTAGGAATTAGTAAATGGTGGTCAGCCTGTGCAATGGGACTTCCGCTTGGTCATGAAGGTGCACTAAAAATAGATATTGTGAATATTGTGAATAGATATTGTGAAGGGACCAAAGAGGAGTGCAGCTATTTATGACACTGTAGTTTGGTGTAATAGTTGGTTCCAGGCTAGAAATTGGGACACTGTGTGTTCTAGTTCTGTTTTAGGCATGAAGTCAGCTGGATGCCCTTGGGCCTCTCAGCCCAAGGAAGGAGGCGGTGGCAATATAAAATCTTGCCAATGTAAGTGCAGAGACTTGTCCAAGTAGTTGCCAGGAGTCAATATTGACTCAAAGACAGTCAGACCTGAGGACAGAGAGACAGACAGATACACACACACACAATTGCAGTCAGCTTACTATGCATCCTTATGCATAACTGTTCATATTCCATGCTTTTTCAAAATGTCCTAGACAAAGGGATGACATCTTTGGGAAAAGATCTTTAAATAGCAGATCAATTAAATCATACAAAATGTACAATTAATATCAGCATGCAGCAGATAATATCAATAGCAAGTTTTACACTTCAGGAAGATTCTCAGAAATTGCTTTAAATTACTCTAAATATAGTGTAAACAGGCTAATGTTGGTTAACAGCAGAACTGCAAAGGAATTTGAACCTAATTGTTTGCTTTATTTTACACTATACAAATGATTCAATATGTACACTTCCAAATCAAATAATTATGTTACACACTGAGTTTTCAAAACAAAGATTGGAAGTTCAAATTTAATTGGGGTGGACATTAAACATAGAGGATTTTTTTTAAAATAAACAGTTTGTTCTTTTTGTCTTAGATATTTATTATTGTACATTGGCTTAAACTTTAGAAACATTTTAGCAACACTGGGAAAACTAAGCCAGCTGCTGGGTGGATATTCTTACAGATGGAGACATGTGTTAAACTCAAATGTCATTCTTTCAAATACCAAAAAGTCTGGGGAAATAAATCCACGGATACCAAGAAAGAGACCTAATATTGTAGAATACTTATGCAATGGGAAGTTAACACCTGTTTTTCACTGAGTTAAATAAACAGATTTCTTGCTAGGACATAAAATTCAGGTGTTTTTCCAGGCTTGTAGAATTTTCATATTTACCTTTTTCATTCCTTTTCTGGTGCACAAATATATTTCCAGCCACAAACACCTTTCACAAGGGGTACAACAGTTCCCACATGGTACCTAATAGACAATGCACAGTGGAATCGAACAATAAGGCTCAAATCTAGTACAAATTTTTACTATTATTTAATTCACTTTTACCCCCGCCTTTTTGAGAGTTCAAGGCGGCTCATGCAAGCTCAGAGTGGCTTACAAAAATCCTCTGTGTTGGGTTGAGCTGAATATAACTAGCCTAAAGTCATCAGGTGAGTTCTATTAACTGAACAGAAGTTGAACCTGGTCAAGTTATAAAGACATTAAAGCACAAATTTATCTGGTTATTTACAGATTGAATATCATTTCAACCATCCCCACAAAATAGCTGTGATGGGATTTTAACTCAATATATCTGGAAGACGATTTTTTATTCCAAACTTCTAATTAATTTAGAATTAAAGTAATTAGCAAAAGTAATTAATATTGAATTGTAGTTACATCTTTTTAAATGGTAAAAGCAAAAGATACATTAAAAATGTGGTAAATTTTCAGTGAAACCGAAGTTGATTGAAAAGAGAGAGAGGCCAAGATTGATTTTAGACCAAGGAAGTTTCACTCTATGGCTGTAGCTCATACTCATATTAAAAATTTAACTCTATTTGAAAGGATAGAAATTTAGTTTTAACATATAACACTTACATTATAATGCTTCTCCTTTCCATTTATTGTCTCTAACAAGCAGCTATCTTGTCTGCTATATGTAGTTGTATTCCACTTTAATTTTGTAAAGCACAAAATTGAGGTTATGCACCTTCTAAGCCAGTGCTATTAGCTGAGTTGGTCTGCATATTCTTGTCTTAAGTGCAGGGAAAAAATGGTTTCGAATTGTGGCATTACTAAGAATCTACTCACTTCTCCCATATCTAAGGATTCAAAATATTCTACCTAGATAATGATTTAAAAAGCCTCAGATGTCTGCTGAAATTCACCTTTCATTCATGCTTGCTCAGTTTGCTCTCCTGCCCCATACTGTATCTGTCTGTCTGCCTGTCTGTCTTCTAATCTCTTCACCTGTCTATAAAAGGTAAAAGATAAAGTTTTCTCCTATCCAGGCAAGTCCAACTCTAGGGTGATCATCTCCATTTCTTAGACAAGGGAGCCAGCATTGTCTGAAGATGCTTCTGTGGTCATGAGGCCAGAATGACTATACACTAGAGTTCACGGAACAATATTGCATTCTTATCTATCTCTCTATCTCTCTATCTACCTACCTACCTACCCATCTACCTGATCAATAGCAATGATTTTCACACTTTCCTTGCTCAGGATTTTAATTCAAAAGTAATAAGAATTCACACAACATTCTAAGCCACTATCAAACAAACCACACTGTAGGTGGCACAATGGATTGTAATGGAAAGTTATTTTAATCCTAAACAGATCTGCTCAGAAGTAAACCCCATCAAATTCAACAGAATGAACTAAATACATTCGAATAGGATTCTAGCCATAAAAAGTGAGCAAAACGTGGAAAAAATATTGTATAGATACCAAACAAGTTAAAAAAATTAAAATGATAGTAGTACATTTCTCTTATAAATTGTTTAACTTATCTTTTATGTACATAAATTAATATAATATAATATAATATATATATCAATCTATATAGTCTGTGGATTAGTAGCAGTTTACATAGGGACACTTGATTTGAAATAGTAAGTCAAAACAAGCATTGTCTGTATATGACTAATAGATGAGAAATAAACATAAATAGAACGGCAACAAAATTTACATTGGCATTGCAAGTACAGATACTGTAGATTGTTCCCCATGCTGCTTTCTCCCTGTTGCAGTAGCTTTTAACCAAAACTTCAAAATGAAGTTAATCAAATACCACAGATCCACGGAGCATCTGGGACCAAATATTTGAATGCTCAAATATTTTTATTTTCAGCATCTGTATTGATCTATCCCAACTATACAACTACAATATTTAAATGTTTAATACATTTTCCATGCTACCTGAGTAAATATAATGATTCAATATATGTTTAATTAAAAAAACTTAAAAGCAGATTGAACACTATTTATTTATCCAATCTCAAAACAACTTGAATCCTTGATGACTCTGGGCAATAGAAAGATTAAAAAAGAAAAACATAGATATATATGAGTTTAAAAGATTCTGGCTGACCTGATAAAAGTGGCAAAATTGGGTTGGTTTAATGTCATTGTTCCGAGTTTATTGATATAAAATAGGGGGGGGGACCCCTATATTTCAATAAGCACATACATGATATCGCTCTAAATTGCAAATTTTTATTTTAGCTTCTGTGAGGGAAAGAATAGGTGACTAGAAAAAAAGTCACATTATGGATAAGTGGGAAGAAAGTCAAGAAAGATAAAGAGTTAAAAAAAAAAGACAGATGTAAAATGAGACAGAGACAAAAAGACAAAGCTTGAAGGAAAAAGTGGTAAGAGAAGAAATACTTGAGAAACATCATAGTACTTTAGACCACATTCCACGGACAAAAGTGCTACGGAGATTGCTCATGTGAGAAAATGAAGAATGGAAATGGAACATAATCGGCAACTGTCTGAAAAGCAAGATTCTCAGGAAATATGTAGGGAAGGCACAGAGTTGAAAAAAAGTAGAAAGCTGGGGCATAGAATTATTTAACATAGAGCCAAGATTAAAAATGGGGATCAGGATGGTTAATCAGAATCTAGGTTCTGTCAAGGAATGTTGCTGGTCATGGCATTTGTTACCACTGCAGCAGAGTTCTCCAATGTTTCCGGCTTTGTGGACCAGCAAGGGGCATGCTTCAAATGGAGCGTGCATGCATGTGCTCGCCTGCTGCTTGCGCAAGTGAGGATGCATGCATGTGCTCACCAGCCGTTTCCATGGTCTAGTTGTAACCCCCTCATGGCCGACTAGTGGGCTATGGCCCACAGGTTGGGGACCTGAGCTATTGGAAGGAGACAGTGAGGGCTAAGAAGCAAATGGGAGTGAACTTTGGGGAGATTTTCTCAGCGGTGGTCAATCTTTCTCTGTCTTGGAGGTATATCTGAGGCCTGTGGGTATCAGTTGAGTGAGCAAGTCCAACATTTTCTGGCCTATCTTGTTTGGGGAGAATTTTTAAGGGGCAAAACTGGCCCTATGACCACCATGTTAAAATCCAATTGGGAGCTTCTATAGGGTTAAAAGTACAGCCATATATGTATGTATGTATGTATGTGTATGTATGTATGTATGTATGTATGTATGTATGTATGTATATCTCCCTACAAGTCTTTGAAGGCACACTACTAGCATTAAGTCCCACCACCAAGCAAAAAAGGATTTGCCCTGAAGGATCTCACAGTTGGAAATGGTATGCTTATAACCAAAGAATTGCCCACTCCTGGGATATTTTGCACAGGATTTGAAGCCTTTTTAGGGGGAAAAAATCCCACTTGGAATCCTAGTGCCCTTCTAGAAGCCATAGTCCAAAACAATAACAAGGCTAAATTAAAAATGAAATTTGGTTACGCAAAGTTTAAAATAAAATACAATTCACACACTTATTCCCACTTTGCTTCTGTTAAATTCCAAGGGAAATTCATCAGAAATTTTTGAAAGGGCTTTGAGTGGGATTTAAGGTTATGCATTCCTATCGATTTTATTTGTTTAATTATATAAAATTCCTTATGTGGCATATATAGACTTTACTTCTCTTATTTTAAGAAATCAAAACAACTTGTGCTTTTATTTGTAACTGTCATTGATTTAAGAGTAACTTGTGAGTTGCCAATTTTGCTGATGATAACAAAATATTCAAGTTGGTGAAAACCAAAAGGGATTGTGAAGTGATTCAGAAGGGTCTCTTTGATCAATGAAATGGCAAACGTAGTTCAATTTAAGAAAGTGTAGAATGATTAACACTGAAGCACTGATTTCACATATAATGTGATGAAATCTCTTCTTTCTATAACTAACCAGAAAAAAGATTTGACACCATAATGAATAGCTTTACGAAGGTGACAAAGAAGTGTATTGAGCTGTGAAAAATGTAAATTTTAGAATTCATACTGGAAAGGGACTAAAAATTACCAACAATATAATACTTCTCTTATACAAATCTGCATTATGTCCTCATCTGGAATATCTTCCTCATTCAATGAAGTAGTGCTGCCTACTAATTTAGTTGGCTTAAAGGCAGGGGTGGGTTCTAAAAATTTTTACTACTGGTTCTGTGGGCATAGCTTATTTTGTGGGCATGGTTTGATAGTCATGTGACAATTCTTTAGGATTTAGCAGAGGTACTGGTCTACCAGGCTTTTAACTGCTTGTAGAGCTGTACTGGTCTACCCATTTGTTTTTGGAGTGCCCCGGTCTACCCATTTGTTTTTGGAACATCCCGGTCTACCCATTTGTTTTTGGAACATCCCGGTCTACCCATTTGTTTTTGGAGCGTCCCGGTATACCCATTTGTTTTTGGAGCGTCCTGGTCTACCCATTTGTTTTTCGAGCACACTGGTCTACCACCATACTGCCTTTTAACACTGATCAGCTGTAGGGTGGCCCTTTGAAGCCCCGCGGCAAGAGTTTAAACAGTTTTTTTCCTTCCAGCCGATCAGCTGGGACTCAGGAGGCAGCGAAAAATTGGGGGCGGGACCAAATAAAAGGTAAGAATAACCCGGGGTGGGTGGGTGGGAAGGCCCAGCTCCCGAATAAAGAGAACCGGTTCGGTGACATCATATCGTCACCGCTACCGGCTCGGCCGAACCAGGCCAAACTGGGAGGAACCCACCACTGCTTTAAGGCCATTGTTAAATTTATTTTTATCATGGAGGGTAGGTCTTTCAAGGGCGATTAGTTTGAAAACATTCCTCTAAAAATTTAGCATTTGTGTCAGGGGATTTATGCATATTGTTTGTTTTTCTCCCTCTACATAAAAATATTAGATAAAATTAGAAAATTAGCAGAACATAAAATTTTATGTTTTATTATTATCATTTAATAATGTTTCCTGAGAAATCTATCTCTAATTAACTGAATGAATGAATGAATGAATGAATGAATGAATGAATGAATGATGGCATATTGTACTTACATGAATAGTAAAGAATTAAGCTCACTTTAGAAGAAATACTGCAGATGCTTAATCCTACACACATTTACCCAGGAACAAGCATAAATTAATATTGTGCTAACATTAATAACCTAATACTTAATATGCATTACTTTTGATTAAATGTAGTGTAAAATACATATTCATACAGAGAGACATGTAATATAGTTGCAGAATTAAAAATGGGATTGGATGGGAGAGGGGATTAATTTTCATCTGTGTCATTATTGCCTCATATATCCGATATAAACTTCTTCTGCAAATAGGGCTCGAATGATGAAGTGTGAAGGGGGTTTAGATTAGAAAACTAGTAGAGGTAGTCCTCCATTTATAACAATTGAGTCCAAAATTTCTGTTCCTAAGTGAGACAGCTGTTAAGTAAAATTTGCCCTATTTTATGACCTTTCTTGCCATAGTTGTTAAGTGAATCACTGCAGTTGTCAAGTTAGTAAGAGGGCTGTTAAGTGACTCTGGCATCCCCATTGACTTTGCTTGCCAGAAGGTCGTAAAAGGTGATCACATGACCCTGGAATGCTGCAACCGTCATAAATATGAGTCAGTTGCCAAGCATATGAATTTTGATCATGTGGCCATGGGGATGCTGCAACGGTTGTGAGTGTGAAAAAGGCCACAACTCATTTTTCTCAGTACCATTGTAACTTTGAAGGGTCACTAAATGAACTGTTGTAAATTGAGGACTACTTGTACATGGGATCAGTGTAATTATTTATCCACCTCACCTGTTTAGTGAATACTTTGAGAAGTAACCTTAAACATTCAAAGAGCCATTTGGACCCATTTCCCACAGAAAAGAAAACAACGGGAGCCACAAAACCCTTCCCGTGCCTGACTATTTCTTGAGCAGCCACAAAACTAGCATATGTAGTTGATTTAAATGTTCTGTTTTCTTCTGAAACTTTTCTTTTCTTGGATTTATCCATGGTTGGCCTACTGGGGGTTGAAAAGCTCAATAAATCGCATGTTGGTGGGTATCGCACATTGGCGGTTGTGATGCATATTTTGAGTGACAGGGAGCCACAGCAGAGGGGTGAAAGAGCCAAATGCGGCTCCAGAGCCACAGGTTGCTGACCCCTGATCTAATCAAAGATAGTAAACTCTCTCTCCTCTACCTTAGCTTCAGTATGAACAGCCAATAGATGTAATAATTTATGTTAGAAGATGAGGCATTTGATTGACAGTGGTGCCCACTTTTTTGTTTTTGTTGCAGAACCAGGCAGAAAATGGAATAATTACTTTAAAGTAGCTTGTTATTCTTTACTGTTAGTTAAAAAAATCAACTGATTTATTTGTTTGTTCATTTATCCAAATTATATAGCTGCCCATCTCTCTCTCAAAGGGGACTGAATTAAATTCCTATTTTTTTTAATTGGCAAGGATGCAAATATCACTTAAGTAACATTCATCATTATTACATCTGTTAACCTTTAATAATCCATGGAATTTTAATAACTACATGACACTCAACAATCACAACAGAAACAATTGCCCAAATCTATAGGAATGACGGCATTTCCTGAACTACAAAATGTTCTACTTTTTGAAGTACTGCAAACTTGTTAATATTGATAACGGAATACTTTGCAGAATGTTGACAAGAAATACCTAATTGTATAAAAACAATTGCATGGAAAGATCCTTAGTATATGTGTAGGAATGCCTGTTGGAATGTGTATGTTCCAAACTGGCTAGTGCATTATATATAAGTTAACTCAGGGTTCTTCCTCACAGCTGATTTAAAGTGCCTAGTTACCAGTGCTCGACTGAGCCGGCAGAAAATTATTCCAGTGTAAAAATTGTGCTCCTTTTCCACCCCCCCAACTCTTTATGGCCATAGCACGATGTCAGCAAAGGTGCTATACAAGGTAGAGACTGGTAGATTGCCCTGGCTTTGTTTTCCGCCCATCCACTGAATGTAATCAGCCAGTGAGAAAACATTCCCTTCCTATGGGTTAGGGCTGGCAGATAAGGTACCTTTTGACAGGTGGCCAGTTCAACTCTGGTCTGTCTTAGTCAAAACTCACTGTCTCACAAAAGTGTTTTGTGGGGTTACCTTAAAGCAGAGTTCTCCAACGTTTCTGGCTTTGCGATCGGCCGGGGGGGAGTGGGAGAGGGGATGGTTCTATGCGAGTGGCCAGCAAGCGCGCCTGCAGCTCCATTTGCGTGAGCGGTGTGCGTACGCACATACCGTTCATGCAAAATTGAGCATGCACACGTGTTTGCCCGCCGCTCATGCAAATGGGGTGAGGCTGCACATACGTATGTGCTCACCAGCTGTTTCTACAACCCGGTTGCAATCCCCTCACAGCCCACTCATGGGCTGCGGCCCACAGGTTGGGGACCCCCACCTTAAAGCGAATGTTTTAAGGCCTGTTCTGGAACAGCATTATTCTGGTAGTAGTTTAGAAGAGTGATAAACTTACAATCAAAAGCATTTTGTACCTGAAACACTAGACCTACAATCTTTCTTCTGCTTTATTAAGCAGCTTTCCCTTCCTCACCACTCCTCCATTGCTCAGCTGTTGCAACATATTGCCTGCTTGAAGAGGAAGTGCTACTTTAACCCTAGAACAAGTAAGAACAACTCATGGAGTGAAATTAAGGCAATATCATGAAGAGAAAAAGAATGCTCCTAGGGATCGGTCATGCTATGGCTAGATGCTAACAGGGAAAGCTTTCAGGATAGCATCACTGTGTATTGAAATGTCAGAAGCCTGTATCTGCTTTGTAAGCATAGACAGAAAGAAGGACCTCAGTGTAGATTTCTCATATTAGGTATTCCTTCAGAATGAGTATGTATGTATGTATGTATGTATGCATTTATTTATTTATTTATTTATTTATTTATTTATTTATTTATTTAACTAACTAACTAAAAAATTTATAAACTGCCCAGCTCCCTCAGAGAAGGCCTCTGGGTGGTGTACAAATAAAATATTAAAACGTAAAAGTGTATATAAAATTAAAAATAGGCAAAGATGATTAAAGTTCAATGTTAAAAGTAATTAAAAGAAGGGTACTCGAGGTTCTAACCCACCCCACGGCTGTATGAGCCCCAAGCAAGATTATCAACCCTATTAACAGCTTTGATACAAATATGTAACAGGCAATTATACATTTAACAATTCTATGTTTAAAAAGGCTCTTTTGTGTTCTTTAAAAAAATGTTATTTTTTGGTTATTTTTTGGTACTCCAGGTACCTGGCCAAGATCATTAAAAGTGCATATTATATTGGCATAGACATGCTTTTTAAAGGCAGAGAAAATAGACAATGTTATGGAGAAGGGAACCCACAGCAGTGTGATTCAATAGTTAAGAATCAAGCTAGTAAGCAGAAACTGCACTTTTAACTCCGTTCAAACAAAGCTTGTGAAAAGTCACGAAAGTCTTATTTAAATCCTACTTTGAAAATTGTATGCTTCAGAAAGTATTTGATAAAGGTTAAAAAGCATGCTTTTACATTTCATGTAATTCCAAGTTTTAGAATTGCTCTTCCTAAAATTATCTTAAAATGTATGGTGCTAATTAAACCCACAAGTCCCAAATTGCCGTTTTACAGATGATTTTAGCCCTGGAGACCAGGCTGATTTCCTGGTTTTAAAAACTAACATTGCAAAGGACCTTTTCGTTAGCCTAGATAGATCTCACTACCATTTCTTTGCCAGAGTTGTAACAGAATATTCCATGAGATAAAGAAACAAGACACTGCTGATGTGTGTAAAACAAGTACAAAAATGTTGCATGACAAACACAAGACATATGTAATGAATTTAAGGGAATGAGTTGAACAACTTGAACCTTTGCCCCTGTTTCTCAAATGGCAACCTTCTTATGTCATCCTACCTGAAAATATCGGCATCAATTCTACTCACACAGAAGACTTTAGGGATTACACGAACCTTTACTTATTCTGATTTCGAATTCGGAGACACCTCCTTTTCAGTGGTGGCTCTAGATCTTCTGGCCCTGTGCTGAGAATTGGCGTTGAAATAATGCAGGGTCCAATAGCAGTCTTGTCCGCTGGTCTGGGTACAGGCTGGATGACGCAGCCTGCTTTGGGTAGCATCCGCAAAGCATATGCATGATCCTCATCGGCCGGATTGTTAAGGTTGGGATCTTGTTTGTCTCCCCCAAAGAGAGACTCTTCCCCCGTCTTCTTACCAGACTCTCCTTCTCGGCGACAGTTTGATGTACAGTTATTCTCCTTAACGGATTCCAGCTCACTCACTGGCAGGTCCTCCAGCAAACAGGGTTGAAGCTGAGTCTTTTTCTGCTCTTGGGGTGTTTCTGAGTTCTTAGAAACCTCGGGGCCTTTTGTGCCATTCACAATGACATTGCAGGCTGCAGCTGCAGCATTTTCTGGAGTGCCAGAGGCAACTGGGAGGGAGCCACAGTGAGATGGATCACCACCCGATAATGTCTTTGTTTCGGTGGGGCTGCAATTTTTCCTGCAGTCACTGCAGTTCCTTTTATCTGAGCTACCCGAAGTCAGATTCACAACGCTGCTAGCTTCATGTTCAACTTTGACTTCAGCATACAAAGCCCTGTGGATAACATTGTGTAGTCTAGACCTGTGACCTACAGTTAAGTCTATCACACCATCCTGTGGTCCCTGTAGTACTGTAGGAAAACCAAACTTGTTGTTCACAGGACTACTCGATCTCACAGTCAAGTCAACAACTTCATTTTTACTGTGCTGCTGATGCACTTGGGTTTGATTTAAGGACTGGCCTGAGCAGCTTGGTGATGAATCAGAAGGCTTGGAAGGGCCTTGTTTAGAATTCCTGGGGGACACAGAGTTACTTGTTGGCTTAGCCCCTGTTGTGTCGTTGGGTGTATTTGGAATGAAGCTTTCCCCATTGCTCGAGAAGCCATTTGGGGGCTTGGAATCATTGATGTGAGGAATGGGGATTGGAATTGGGATTGGGACAGGAAGTGGAACGATAACAGGATATGGCACTAAGAGGGTTGGTGGTGGCACTAATGGGGCAAGAGATGGCAAACCAAAGTTCATCATCTGTGGCATGGGCATAGGACCATTTGGCATCATGCTTACAGGAGGGAAAGGCAGGCTGGGCAAAGGAACTCCTGGCGGTGGAGGGGGTAGTAAGCCTGGAGGATTTCCAGGCATCGTTGGAGTTGTTGGAGGATGGATATGAGGGGACAGCATTGGCCTATGCATTGGGCTGGAAGTGGGTCCCATATTTCTAGGACCACCCGGTGGTGGGCCAATTCCAGGAATCATTGGATTGGACAGAGGGCTATTTGGATTTGAGGCATGATGAGGTGGCCCTCGAATAAACGGTGGACGAATCTGCTGCAGAATTTGCTGCTCCATGAATATGGGCAAGGGAACTGGTCCACGGTTTGTCATCACCATGGGCGGACTTCGAGGTGGGACACCGATTGGAGGCACAATACTAGCAGGTGGCTGAACAGAAACTGGTGGAATATTTGGATTCTCATTGATGGGAATAGGTTTGGGAACCGGTGTTGGGATTTTAGTGACAGAGCAGTTGGCAGTATCAGACGGAGAGGCAGTGGTAGACGTGGATGATCCAGGACCTTGAATTTGGCCAGCTGCAGACACTGGGGATGGGGCCTTTCTCCGAGCATCTGCTAGCGATATATTCCAAGAATCTGGAGTCAGCAGCTGCACCCCAGTGCCTTCTGCTTTATTTTCTACTGGAGGATGTAATGTGCTGCAGAGTCCAGCTGGAAGATTGGCCTGTGTCTCTTTGTAGAAAATGTCCATTTTGTACTGATTGAGACATTTTGCACTGCAGAACTGAAGCCTTCTTTCCCCGTCCCCAAAATCCAGATACTCTTTTGTGTGTCTTATGTGCTTACACCAGTCACACACCTACAACACAGTAACAAAATCAAAACAGGTAAGAAAAAAGTGATTTCTTTTTTATAATGTCATTTGCATTAAAAGTATTTTTTTAAACTTTTGATAACTGATTTTTAAACATCTGAATTATCCAGAAAAAATATATTTCATGAAACTTGCATGCCATGATCCCAAAATATAGTTGATCTAACATTGTTATGTATATAGGTAAATATATAGATATATACAGACACACATGCCTTCACACAATTTATTTTTATAATATTTAATCTAGTTGTCATCTACAATGCTAAAAACCTTTAGTAAATGAAAACAATAGTATTGTGCATGTATGTGTGTTTATATCTACATTCACATCTAAATGATGTTCTGGAAAAGCAATAGGATTATAAAAAGATTTTTTAAAATCATTACATTAAAACATAAGGTAATATATTTAGTGGAATTGAAATACTGCTAAATATAAAGTGACTGTCCTATAAATCAGAAAATCCTCACATCAGGTCTTATCTATGCCATGAACTAAGAAAAAACTACCCTATATTAGTTTATTCAAAGGTAACTATTCCATTCAAGAGGATTTAATGCCTAAAAACTACAAGCAGGACTGCAGGCTCAGGGTTTCTTTCCACATTCTACAACATAGACGTAATAACCCATGTGATTTTTATTTGGATTTGCCCTCTTTCTTCAAAAATATTAAAAGTATTAAATAAAATGAGCTGGAAGTAAATTTCATTGACCGTATTGAGACTTTTGAGTAAACATGTATAGAATTGTACTTTGAAACTTCATATAAATGTTGGCGATTTTATTATAAAGCATGATCAGAGTCTAATATAACATTAAGAAGCTTAAGATCAATGACTATAATAGGCCTTGGTTCAGAAGCACAGTTGAATTGGTCATGTGGATTTTGACTGAAAAATGGAACTCTAGTTATAAAAGTAAGATCAAGGAACACTTGGAAAAAGACCTCATGATTTTTGAAAACTGAAAGCAACTCATCTATGGTATAAAAATGCAACCTGACATTTTAAATTAGTGAAGTGCCATAAATAGCAATGGTGGGATAGTATTACGTTGTATCCAAAAAGCAAAACCATCATATAGCATTAAATTTGAATTCTAATTATGAAGTACAAAATAATAATAAAACCTGGATGAATTTCAAGTATTCAGAAACTGTGATATTTTAACAAGCTGGAAAGATTATCCAAGCTGTTTGCCCATGCTTTTTAAACTAGTCATTTTTGAATATACTTTTGGCAGACAAAAATTGATATAACCAAAAAATAAGACAAAACCTCTTATTATGATGCTAGTCTTTCTGTACCAAATACAAGTTATTTTCTGTCCTACTATTTGGTGGGGTAAAGATGCTGCCAATTTAAAAAAAATAAATAAATTATGGTTCCAGAACTAATTAAGCTGTGAAAGGTTTTCCCAGTTGTAAACCACTAGAAACCAAAGTTCAAAAAATAGACATTCTAGGTTTCAGAATCCATTACTTTAGAGAAATTATTATGATTTCATTAACACATTAATACTGTAACACCAACAGCTCTCACAGATGGCAGAGACATGATCTACAATGCAAATATGACTCTTGTTTGCACAAATGCCTTTTCCTTCATATGGCATTTTAAACAAGAATTAAAATGAATAATCTTTCCACAGCTATAAACAGATCAACAGATGTCAGAATTTTCGGTGCCTTTTTATACACAGTGACAATCTCGGTTTTTGTCATTCATTCCATTCTAATAATATTACAAAGATTTTTTTCACTTGCTATCTATGATACGTATATTGAGATAAAAGTATATGAATGCACTGTCCTTTGTACACCTTTGCACAGTATTCAGAACTGGAAAACCTTATCTTAAACATACACAAAATGATGCCATAACAAAAAGATAGCATTAAAGTAAATAATGTAGATTTAATATCCATTTGCCATATAAACAAATTGAAAACAACATATGCTGGGCATTTGACTAGTCGTAGTCAATTCTTGATTTTTTCAGTGATAACACTTAAATTGATTAAAGCTTGCACATTTGTTGAATATCTCACTGGCATTTCAATAAAAGATAGAAAACAAGCCATATGAATAAAGCCTTTTTGACTTAAATTAGTTCAGTGGGCATTTATCCTATAAATCCTCATCCAGGGTGGTCATTGATGTTTATTCCTTGTAACAAGTCACAATATTCTAGTTTATGTCTCTTTAGAATCAGCTTGTTGTAGTGTGTATGAAAACACATCTGAGCAATCGGTGGCATCAAGAGCAAGTAATTCTTTAGTTTAAATTATCTTGGTGTTACAGGAGATAAACAGGCTCAGACCTCAACCTCATATGAATTAGGTTTACAACATTGATAATTATTTTCCATGTTGTGTTGCTTGAACAATTGTGTTCCCAAACCGATTCTTTTTCTGTTGTCAATTAAAGCAACTTTACAGTTGGCCAGCCACTTTTGAATATCCAATGCTATTTTTGATGCTTTCATCTCACTATTTTTTCATATCCAAAGTGAATCCAGTCAATTTGCCCCTTTGTTAGCTGTTCTGAAACTCATGTTTTAACATAAAATCTAAATGCTCCTTACCAGTGGTGGGTTGTTTGCGGTTCATCCCGGACTGAGCGAACCGCTAGCGGTGGCGGCAGGAGGCTCTACCCACCCGCCGGATGCGCAGAAGCGTCTTGCGTGCGCACGCACGGGCAAACCGGCAGCAACCTAAATTGAAACCCACTACTGCTCCTTGCTCAATTTTAGAGCAAACTTTTTTTTTAAAAAAAATTGTCCAATATTTTTAACTAGGGAGGGAGATTGGTGGGACAGCAAACTCCTACAATTAAATAACACATTTATTTAATGGGTATGGAGGTAGTCAGAAAACTCACTCATTCCAGGAGAAAAGGAAAGTTTAGGAAGTATTGACTTACTAATTTATATGTAAAATGAGCACTGGCAATTGTTTAGAACACACAAATTGCTTTCAATAACACTTTCTATAAAGTAATGATTTAAAAAGGTAGAAAAAGCAAGTGCAGCCAAAACTAACTCTGGAAAGATCAGAAAAATAATGATAATGAATTATATACTTTATCCACACAGCAATGTTGACAAACTCTACTTAACCAAGAAGGATAGGTGAGCATAGAAAGTTGCAACATCATATAATTGAAGAAGAAGAAAGCATTGGAAGGACAATGAAGAAGATGCACTGAAGCTAGTACTCCATGAAGGCTTACTGAATACTGGAGAAACTAAACTGGTTGACAAGAAAGACCAGAAGAATAAAAAAGAGATACAGCAAGGCAAAATATTACATGGCCAGTGCAACACACACACACACACACACACAACACACACAAGCAAACATACAAAACCTAGCAGGTGAAGCAGATAACAAGATCTGGCAATAGCTAAGAGCAGGGAAAATTAAGAAAGAAACAGAGGAACTAATTCTGGCTGCACAAGACCAAAGCTTCAGAACAAATACATACAAAGCCAGAATTGAGATGACAGCAACAGATAGCAAATACTACCTCTGCAAAGAAGCTAAAGAAACAGTGGATTACATTGTTGCTGCTGCAAGAAGATCACACAGACTGACTACAAGCAACAGCATGACAAAATAGCAACAACGGTGTATTGGAATATCTGCAAGAAATACCATTTGCCTGCAAGCAAGAACTGGTGGGACCACAAAATAGACAAAGTAACAGAAATGAAGAAGCTAAGGTGGTCTGGAATTTTAGAATTCAAACAGATAAGCATCTGTCACATAACACCCCAGAACAATTTTTGATAAGAAAAACAAAACAGTAGGGAGAGCAGAATAGAGGACAAAAAACTGGAGAAAAAAATATAAAAACCTATCAATAGAAGTGGAATGATTATAGCAATTTTTTTTTTAAAAAAAACAAAGATAGTTGCAATAATAATAGGCATTTTGGGTGCAATCCCAAAACATCTGGAGCACCACTTAAACACGATCAGCATTAATAAAATTATTCTCAGACAAATGCAAAAGGCAGCTTTACTCAGAACATGTTACATCTTGCAATGATATCTTTAACAACATCAAACAACATCTGCCTATCCGAGGTCCTTGGGAAGGATTTGATACATGGAAGAAAATGTCAAATTGAATATAAACATCTCGCTGACTGTGTGATCAACCATAGTAATAAGGCCAGAACTGAAAAACAGTGAATGATTCAAAGTGCAGATTGTGGAAAGAAGCAGAAGAAACAGTAGTTTCAGTACATTCAGCTCATGTAACAAGATCGCACAAACTAATGATAAACAATGATATTACACAGTTGCCAGAATAATTCACTGGAACATCTGTAAAAATTATCATGTGCCAGTAATGAAATATTGGTGGGAACATAGAGTTGAAAAAGTAATTGAAAATGAACAGGGTAAAATATTTTGGGATTTTTGAATATAAACTGATAAAGTTTGGCACATAATATACCAGATTTAACTATGATTGGAAAAAAAAGGAAGCGTGGATAATTAATGTGGCAATACCAAGGGATAGTAGAAAACAAAGACTTGGAGAAGATCACAAAGCATCAAGATCTGAAAATTGAAGCTGAAAGATTATGGCATAAACCAGCCATGGTGGACACTCAGAACACTGGGTATCATACCAAAAACTCTTGGATGGCAAATCTGTACGTTGACAAAATTTCCATCTGTCAGTTAGAAAAGACCACACTGCTTGGATCGTCACATATACTATGCTGACACATTATAACATCCTAGATTCTGAGAAAAACTTGATTCATATGAAGGCAACTGCCAGCTAATGAACTGACAGCTATGATGTCACATTATTATGTATATAATAATAATAATGACAAATTCACCATCAGTCAATTGCAAAAGGCAGCTTTGCTTAGAACAGCTTACATCCTGCAATGATAGCTCTAACACAGAGCTGTCAAACTCGCGGCCTGCGGGCCAGATGCATCATGCACTGGC